ATGCCCTCAAATCGCCCTCTCTCTTTTTGGTTCGTCCCTTGGGTGTTTGAAATCCAAAACCCAGCTCTCCTTCTCCCTTGGCTCGAAATTGGCTTAAAACCAGAAATCCCCGACTCACACGGCCAGGCCACACGGCCGTGTGACTCTCCCAGGCTGCCCGTATGAGTGCAAAATGCGGCGTTTCGTTAAATTACTTCAGCCATCCTACACGGCCACGACCCACACGGTCGTGTGGACTTCCAAGGTGCCCGTGTGAGTTCCCTGGAATTTCCACACGGCCACCAGGGGTCCCCTACACGGCCGTGTGGCTTTTAGGCATGCCCGTGTGACTTCTCAGCTTCTCGCCAAACGTCCAAAATTCGTTCAATCGACCCCGTACTTGTTCCCAAACCTTCATTCACGTACTAGGACCTGAAATATCACAAACAAGAACAACTTAGCGTGAAATCGGCCTAAAACGCGAGAATCGACATCTCAAACGGCTCAAGGATAGGGGTAAAAACATGTGTAATCAATGGTCTATCAACTGATCTGGTGCCGAAGAGTCCTGGGGGTAAGAAACAAAAGCTGGAGGAATCCCTTCTTATGCAGGGCCGAAACAATGAAGATGTGGTGGTGGCAACCAACCCTGACTGGTCCCAACTCGATAGATAAGCATCCTCGCCTAGAATTGTCAGGGACTTGGCTCTCCTCTGACAATTCCATCTCTCTTTGGAGCCATTTTTCGATTCTCTCCATCGATTGTATGTTTAAGTGAGACAAAACATGATGATGATTATGTAAATAAGAAGTTAAGTAGATTAGGTTATGTCGTGGTCAGTTGTGTGTCCCTGGTTGGGAGGGATGGCGGCCTAGCTTTTGCTTGTGCCTCTAATGTCCATTGTCGATTGTTAGGAGAAGTTGCTTTCTATATATTTGTTGAGATTCAGCATCTAGTTTGGGCTAGTGTTGCTATTTTATTTGTCCATTTAAGCTATGATGTAAATACTTGTGGTTTTCAATTCAATGAACTTCTCAGTTTGATCTCGTCGTGTTCTATCCCCATCATAGTTATAGGTGACTTCAATGGCATACTATTTGCTTATGAAAAACAGGGGGACGTCCACCATCTTTCACTGTCCTGGATCGGTTTCACTCATTCATTGATTTTGCAGGTCTCTTGGACTTGGGTTTCAATGGCCCCCCTTTCACTTGGTCAAATCGCCAAGGAATTTCTACCCACATTCTTGAACGAATCGATCGCGGTTTAGGTTCTGAACTAATCATTCATGCTTGGCCAAATGTGCAGGTCTCGCACTTGATTGACCTTGGCTATGATCACAGGATGATTCTCTTGCAGCTGGTTCCCGGATAAGGTAAAGGCAAACCCCGATTCCAGTTTGATAAACGATGGACTCTCAATGATGAAGCAAAGACCATTGTGCTACGGACCTGGCAAGAGGTGTTTGCTGGAACGCCACAGTTCGAACTCTTCTCTACTCTCAAGTCTGCACGACATCACTTTGTTGATTGCGCACGTCTGGGGACTACTAATTCAGCAAGACTCATTAGAGAGCTTCTCCAAGCAATAGAGGCTGCAAGGGAGAGTTTACCTGTTGACTGGACCACCATACAAGGTCTGGAATCGCAACTAGCTGTAGCCTACCAACAGGAAGAGGTATATTGGAAGCAAAAATCAAGAAATAGCTGGCTGCAGGAAGGTGATGCAAATACTAAATACTTCCACATCACGACAGCTCAACGAAGACGTCAAAACCAAATATAATTACTCTGAGATGAGTATGGGGAGATCCACATTGAGGAACCAGCTAAAGGTCATGTCTCTGTTACCTATTTAGTATCGATGCTTCCCAAGCCCCGGGATCGGACGGATTCACTGCTGCGTTCTACCAAGAATTTTTGGGACATCATTGGTAACTCAATGTGTGTGGCTGCTATGTCTTTCTATAGATAAGGTCGCATGTTACACAACTTTAATCATACGTTGATAACTTTGATTTCCAAGGTTCCCAATGCAGACTCAATGAAACAAAAGCGCCCAATAAGGTTATGCCAGGTCTTTTATAAGATCATCTCCAAGGTTTTATCTTTTCGTTTGAGTAAGGTTCTGCCTTCTGTGGTTAGCGACACTCAGAATGATTTCGTCAAAGGAAGGGACATCTCAGATAACATCCTTATCATACAGGAGGTGATGCACTTTCTAAAGACGAAACCCAGGGTAGAGATAAATGGATGGCACTGAAGCTCGACATGGAAAAAACATACGACTGAGTTGTGTTTTCTCTTTGCTATTATGGATTCGCTGGGATTTGACTCTTCCTGGATCAAACTTATCAAGGATTGTGTCACAACTGTCACCTTCTCTATGCTTCTGAATGGCGACACTCATGGCTACTTTCATCCAGAACGGGGTATCCGCCAAGGTGATCCGATGTCGCCTCTTCTCTTTGCCATTTATACCGAAGCATTTTCCACACTGATTTCTAATGCTCTTGTATCACAGCAATAACATGGTCTCAAAATTCATCGCTTAGCTCCAAAGAATTCACATCTTTTGTTTGCTGATGATACTTATCTGTTTTTGCGAGCTTCATCCGCGGAATGCACCCAACTTCTTCAACTACTTAGCCTCTATGAGTCAGCTAGTGGTCAGAAAATCAAATTGCAGAAGTCAAAAGTCTGCTTCAGCTCAAATGTTTCAGCCCAAGAAGCATCAGACTTGGCTGCAACACTGGGAGTGGATTTCATTAGTGCCTTGGATAAATACCTTGGCTTACCTGCTCAGCTGCAAAGGTCCAAAGTTCAGACTCTTCGGTTTATAGAAGATGTAGTAGCTAAGCGCATTCGGAACTGGAAATCGAAGTCACTTTTGTTGGCAGCAAAAGAGGTGGTTATAAAAGTTGTCGGTTCAGCGACTCCGGTGTATGCGATGTTATCTTTCCGATTACCAGCCACTTCCTGCCGTCGAATAAATGGGCAGCTTTCATGATTTTGGTGGGCTAGCCAAGACAAGGAGAACGGGATTCATTGGATCGCCTGGCCGGCAGTTTGTGTGAGTAAGTTTCGTGGCAAACTGGGATTCCAGGACTCCGACATTTTCAACGTAGCTATGTTGGCTAAACAAGTTTGGAAGATCCTTATGTTCCCAAATTCTACCTTAGCTAAAATATACAAGGCTCGGTATCATCCCCAATGTGCTTTCCTCACTACTCTGACGGGAACTCGGTCGTCTTGGGTGTGGCAAGGCGTCCTGAAAGGTCCTACACTTTTGCGAAAAGGACTTTGATGGCAGGTCGGGTGTGGTACAACCATCAGAATCCTCGATGATCCTTGGATACCTACTTCTCCTCCTTCCTCCCCGGTTCTGCTGCCTGGAATTCAGCTTCCGAATCAGTTCGTGGCCTCCTTGATACACCCGCTGACTCGTTCTTGGAACAAGGATCTCCTCCGCGATTACTTTACTAGTGATAGCATTAAGTTGATCTTATCTTTTCCTCTCCCTTTTTCTCCCAGGTCAGATAAAAATATATGGCATTACTCTGATACAGGTCAATATATAGTGAAGACAAACTACTATCTCCTCTTGGATGAACGATCAGAGATGTTCAGCAACCTCCCATCACATCTAGATTCTCATTTCTGGAAATTACTTTGGAGCTTGCTTATCCCTCCTAAACTGAAATTCTTTTTGTGGAGGGTTGTAAGAGGGTTTTTGCCATGCTTGGAAATTCTACATATTAGGTCCCTAAGTGCATCTAACTTATGTCATGTTTGTTCTTCGGCTGTTGAATCAATTTCTCATTGTCTATTTGACTGCAGGGTAGCGCGAGGGGTTTGGCTCTTGGCTGGAAAAGATCACATTCGAGTGGTATTAGCGAGTTTATCCTGTGACTTGGCTTGGTCTCATGTGTTTAATTCACTGCAGCTAAACAAATTGGAGATGGCGGAGCTAGTGTTCCTCATATGGCGAATATGGAAGGCTCGCTGCTACTCTTGTTATGACCGTATTCAGTACTTGCCAAGCCCTCTTCTCCGCCAATATCTACAACAAAGGGACGAATGGATCGCAACAACTGCTTCCTACTCGCGTGGCAGGAATCTTCCTGGTCGTTCTCCATCCGTCTTTCCTTCTCCTTCCTGCCCACCAGGCAGACTGCTAATTAATTTTGATGGTGCTACTCGCCGAGAGGTTGGTGGAAGCATCGGTTTTGTTGGGTTTACGACATCAGATGCGATCGTCCATGCCTACGGTAAGTATTATGAAGATCTGTCTGACCCATTTCTTTTGGAACTCTTGGCATTGTGAGATGCGGTGGATTGGTGGGGTATTACCTCTGTTTTTGTGGTGATTCTCAAATGGTGATCCGGCGAGTAACGAAGAATGAAGTACAATATAATCGTGGTGGGGCAATTTTTGAGGAAGTTCGGTTGGTGAAAGCTACGTTCGCGTTTATTCGTTTAGTTTCTCTCCTCGTAGAACTAACAAGACTGCCTATTGCATGACAAAAACGGCTCTTGCATCGATGGATCAACATTTGGCTTATTACCACTATTTACTTTTCAGCTCTTTGTAATTCCCTATCTATTAACTATATATATATATATATATATATATATAAAAACTTGTGATATATGAATTATGAATTTATGATGAGAAATTTTACAATGCTATATAGTATTGGTGCTATAGGTTTTTGTCTTTATGGTACAACTTAAAATTGTACATTTACGTTGTGGTACAACTTCATATTGTACCTATACTTTTTGTACAAATTCTTTTATGGTACAACTTGAACTTGTACCTTTATGTGATGGTACAACTTCAAATTATAAAGTTGTACCATAACATAATGGTACAAATTGCTTTATGGTACAACCTAAACTTATACATTTAATGTTATGATACAACTTTGAGTTGTACATTAAAGCACCAATACTATATAGCATAGTAGAAGTGCTCATTTAATATATATATATTCTTTCCCCAATCACAGCTTCGCATGAAAAACCTCAAATCCCCGACTGTATTGTCGGAGTACCAGTTGCCGCCGGGAGAACCTCGGCTCCCGTTTGTCCCTGTTCCCCGCCTGAATTTCGCATTCGCAGCTTCCAAGTTTGAATCTTTTGCATGCGCCACGCTCGTTCTCATCTCGTTAGAGCTAAATTATGCAAGGAGCAGCGGAGATAGCTTTCGCTCGTCTGGAAGCTCATTGATGCGAAGCAGGCAAGAATTTTGATACTTGCGAGCTCTTCGTTAACGATCCGTTCTCTTAGTCGGTAATTGGATTGTGGCGTCGATTCGTCTGTGGCGCTGTTTGTTTTGTGGCCGGAAGGTAAGCATTGTACCTTTGTGTATCAATTGAAGGGTTATGTTTGGGTTTGGTGCCTTTCTCCTCTTGGGTTGTTTATCAGTTACGGAAAATGATAGAAAGTTTGGTTCTTTTTCTTTTGTTGCTTGATTTGTCTTCCCCCTTTTCTTTTGTGGTGATGGTTCTGGATGCTTCTCACTAATTGTTCGCTTCCTAATGGTTTCTGCAGAGTTGCAGAAGCTTGTCAATGGCTTGGAGAGCGATTGGTGAAAAGGTACATTATGTTCTTGAACTTTTTCTGTATCGAAGACTTTCACAAAACATTGTTGAGTTTATGAGATTTCAACTGAGATGATGAAATGTGTTTGTGATCGAGACACTTATCATGGATGTCTTACTCTGGAATTATATGATTCGTATTGTTGTTTTGAAATGATTGTGTTTCTTATTTACAGCAACGAGGATGCACTTTCCACATGTTCTAACTCTTAACAACTTATATATGGGCCAAACTTGCTTAATTTTCTGTTTCATGGCTTAGGTAAACTCAATCCCTCATATTGGCTTGTATCTTGGGACCATGAAAGTGCGATCTTATGTTTGATATCACAGATTACATAAATCCCTTGGTCATGCATTCAGTTATCGACTTTTCCCCTCTATTTTCAGATTTATTCTGGTTATGCTATGCCTATATTGTAACTTTTAAGAAGAGATCTCCTATCAGTAATGTACTTCCTTTCCTCAGTCACCAAAAAACGAGATAGTTAGCTGCTGTATTGTATTTGTCAATTATTATCCGTAGATGTGGGTTCGAATGTGAAACTCTGCAATGGTATGGTATGTCTGGCATTGACAAAGTTTTATCTTAACTCTCTCCTTTTTACAGGGTATTCGGTCTCCTCTGGGCAGACGCGCCATTTTATCATCTCAAGAACATTTAGTTAGGTTAACCTCGAAAATTAATCTTGACATTGCAGCGAGATCAGTTTCAGCTTCTAGTCGTAGACAAGGTAACCTGCAATATGGATGTTCACTCGATTCAATGTTATGTGTTCGGCGAAAACATATATTGTCTGCTTGCTTGTATCTTAATCGCAGAAGTTCTGCATTTTCAGTTTAGTTAGTTGGTCTGGTCTACTGAATTATTTCTTAGAAACTTTCATGAGCTGCATTTTAAGGCATCAACTGCCTATCAATTATTCATCTAGGATATCAATTGACATGAGTTTATTTTATAAATGAAGATCTTAGTTCTGGGTTGTGCTTGTGTTGGCGTTCTGAAGCTATAGATAAGAAAGTTTGGTTTCACTACCATGGCTCACTTGTGTATGACTTTTGAGTTGCAGGCTTTACTAGCGGCTCTCTTTCACCAGGGAGTTCTCATGGCAATGTTCTCACTAAAGAATCCTTCATCAGGTACATTAATATGCATCTTTCAAGTGGATCATAGTTTCACTACTCTCTTGCAATCACTCCTCTCTGTTCCCTGGCTACTAGAATTGTTAGTGTGCTGCAGAGAAGAGTTATTGTTTCTACTGCCTTTTCTGTTTATCACTTCTTCTTTATTCTGCTGGATCTCTCATCGGAGATGGTTTGTGTAATTAGACCTAGAAGTACGGAGATCCTGCTCCGGTTCATGTGGTATAGTGGTAGCATCATCTTGCTCTTTTGTCCTACTCTAATCAGGCATTTGTTTAGTTAATTACAAAAGAGGCAAAATAGTAGGATAAGTTTGAACTGAATGTGGCAAGCTTGTAGCAAAGCACCCTTGGCAATTCTGATATCTCGATTTCATTAATAGGACTGTTTTCCCCTTTTCCTTTGATGTTTCCATCTCTCGTGTTTCATTTGTCTTAAATGTTTGTGAACGCATTTTCTACTTTTGACCTGGGATGAGGAAACCATTTTTTATCTTGAATAGGTACTTTCATGGAACTCCGGCTCTATATAGTAGAAAAGCAATTGATGAGGCCTTGGGTTTAAAGACAGAAAGGAAAGGGAAGTTTAAGAGAAGGGACAAGGCACAGATGAAACCGCCTGTTGAAGCTAAATACGTGCCCCCAAAACTAAAACAGCATATGAAGTCCTCTCTAGATAAAATGGTCGACATATTTGAAGGCATGACCATTGTTGAACTTGCCAAGCGTACTGGTGAGTCAATCAGCACCTTACAGGATGTTCTTGTTAATGTTGGGGAAAAGCCCGGGTCAGAGTTTGATCCTCTCAGCATTGATGTTGCGGAGCTCATTGCTATGGTACTTCTCTTGTCTCATTATGCGCAAAGAAAAAAGCATACCCATGCTTGTACCTAACAGGATGGGAAAAATTACTTTTGTAATCAGTAATATCTCTACTGACAGAATTTGAATGATTTCTGTCATTTGATTATCAATACTTTTATGATTGGCCAGTTCATAACCAATGCTCCACATGATTGATTTTACTTTTTAGACTCTGGGCTAGGTCACGGGGACCTTACAACACAATTGATCTATTTCATCATCATCTTTTCTTAGACCAAAATGCTTTTTTCCTGTTAGAAGCTTACAGGAAATGGCTTCATATCGGTCCTTGCAGGAGGTTGGGGTCAATGTCAGGAGGCAACATTCCAACGAAGGCTCACAAATCCTTCCACGATCACCAGTTGTTACAGTCATGGGTCATGTCGACCATGGAAAGACTTCTCTTCTGGATGCCCTACGCCAAACAGCAGTGGCTGCCACTGAAGCTGGTGGAATAACTCAGCACCTTGGTGCTTTCGTGGTAGGGATGACTTCTGGCGCATCAATCACATTCCTTGACACGCCAGGCCATGCTGCATTCAGTGCAATGCGAGCAAGAGGTGCAGCAGTCACTGACATTATCGTTCTTGTAGTTGCTGCTGATGATGGGGTGATGCCTCAAACTTTGGAAGCCATGTCCCATGCAAAATCAGCCAATGTGCCCATAGTGGTTGCAATCAACAAATGTGACAAGCCAGCTGCTGACCCGGAAAGAGTCAAAGTCCAGTTGGCATCAGAGGGTTTGCAGCTAGAGGAAATGGGTGGTGATGTCCAGGTAGTTGAAGTCTCTGCTGTTAAGAAAACCGGGTTGGATGACTTGGAAGAATGCTTGCTTCTTCAGGCAGAGTTGATGAACCTGAAAGCTCGTGTCGATGGTCCAGCTCAAGCTTATGTCGTGGAGGCAAAATTGGACAAAGGTCGTGGACCACTGGCCACAGCAATAGTAAAGGCAGGAACCTTGGTCTCTGGGCAGCATATTGTGGTGGGGTCAGAGTGGGGGAGAATAAGAGCTATAAGGGATATGGTGGGGAAGTTGGCACAGAAGGCGACACCTGCGATGCCGGTTGTGCTTGAAGGGCTGAAGGGGCTTCCTAGGGCCGGAGATGATATCGTAGTTGTGGAGACTGAGGAGAGAGCTAGAATGCTGAGTGCTGGTAGGAAAAAGAAGTTCGAGAAAGATCGGCTGAGACAGCTTATGGAGCAAAGGCCTGTAGTTGAGGAACCATCAGAAGAAGATGGGCCTGTAGCTGTAAGGGTTGAGATGCCGATCGTAGTGAAAGCAGATGTTCAAGGAACTGTCCAGGCTGTCACTGATGCTTTGAAGACTTTAAACAGTCCTCAGGTATTATGCCTAACAGTATTACGTCTCATCTCCTGACTAGCATCGGTTCAACCTTAAAAAGTTGAGAAACTTGTTTATTCGTACATTTTAGCTGTAGTGTGATCAGTTAATGAGCCAGAGTCATTTGATAGCATTCGGAAACTGCAAAACATCATTCTAACTTTCCATAGCTATCTTCTTGTTTCACTTATTGATTAATATCTTGTTCGTTGGGATGGTGCTACCAGGTTTTCGTGAATGTAGTCCATGTAGGCGTGGGTCCAATAAGTCAGTCCGATATCGACCTAGCTCAGGCTTGTGGTGCCTGCATAATTGGATTCAATGTCAAAACTCCACCTGGTTCAGTCAGTCTTGCAGCAACTAAATCCGACGTAAAGGTACAATTCTGATTGTTTTCTTTATCCAGATTCTCCAGGAATTGTTCGCTCATTTGTTCGTTAAATGGGTTGGTTGAATTAATCCTCAGATCATGCTGCATCGAGTCATCTACCGCCTTTTAGAGGATGTGGGCAACATGATAGTAGAGAAAGCTCCTGGGACTTCCGAGACTCACGTAGCTGGAGAGGCCGAAGTCCTTAGCATCTTCGAACTGAAGGGGAGGAGCAAAGCTGCTGGAGGCGACATGAAGATCGCGGGCTGCAAGGTGATAGACGGGCGAGTCAGTAGAGCATCAACGATGAGGCTCCTTAGGAGCGGTGAAGTCGCGTTTGAAGGATGCTGCTCGTCGCTCAAGCGAGAGACACAAGATGTGGATTCAGTTCGTGAAGGGAGTGAGTGCGGGATGGTGCTCCGTGATTGCGAAGATTACCTTGTCGGAGATGTGATCCAGTGCTTGGAGCAAGTCATTCGGAAGCCCAAGTTCGTTTCTTCACAGAGTGGTGCTGTTCGGATCGAATGCTGACACACACCCTCTGAGCACTGTTCTTTCTAGTTTGCAGCCTGCAAAGAAGTTTTGATGGAGAAGTGTTTTGAGAATTGATCAAACCCCCATATATATTTTCTTTGTTCTACACGGTAAGAGTAACTTCAATTCATCATGGGAAACCAAAACCAGTGAGTAGAGTAGGAGTTGTTGATTTATATACATTCTAAGAATACAAGAATAGAGGAGGCGAAAGGCTGAATATTCTTTTCAGGGGACATTCCCTTAATGTGGATCATGATTAATGAAGTTGGAGAACTAGTCTTTTTGTGTTGCATGGAATACGCAGCAGATGAAGAAAACAGACTGTCCTTGTTTTACATAGGCTTCTTTCGAAGTGTTCGAAAGATAATAACCTTCTGAGAATGTATTTTTTGTT